TCAAACGAAGTCATGGCATTGCAACTTTGAGATTAATCTCATGCTTGCGTATCCACAGTTATTATGTCATGTCATTGCCTCATCTTTCATAGATACCAGACATGAAACACTTTGAGACTACAATTCATCTAGGCTTATTTATACAAATTATCTTGCCTATTAGTTGTAAATACTAAAGAGTTATTATTATTTATTACCCTACATTGGCTTTTTTTTTCAAAAACAACATTATATCCACTGTCACATAATTGACTTATGCTAAGTAGATTATGTTTAAGACTATCTACTAATAAAACATTATAAATGGAGGGGGAAAGGTTTGTACCTATGTTTCCAATTCCTATGATTTTTTCTTTTTGGTTTCCTTCGAATGTGATCAATCCTCCTTTCTTGTCCCTCAGGTTTAGAAACATACATTTTTCTCCCTGTCATGTGACGTGAGCATTTACTATCCAAGTTCCATGACATGGCTTTTCTTTCAATCACCAGACATATATGCAAGATGAATTATTTGAGTCTTAGATACCCATAATGAGTTAGGTCTTGGCTTGTTAGACACATACATTTTCTTCTTTTCAGAAGACAATGTATCAACATTTAACCTAGTGAACCTAATGTGGTTAGTTTATTATTGTGTTTTGTGTTTCGTCTTCTATACCCTAAACTTTGTTTGTTGGAAGGATGCCTAATTTATCTTAATAAACGATCTAGCATAGCATTTCCCTTAAGTGTTCTACTTAATATTTTAGTGAGAAACACATGTGAGTGTTTAAACTACATTGTATTGTAATCACATCATCTCTGTAAGAGTAATAGTCTAAACAACTTGTAAGCAATTGTTTATTGCAATTCTGAAGAGAATTAAAACACTTGTTCAACTTGGTTGAGTTAAGGAAATCTAAGCAAGGTTGCTTAGTATCAGGAGTGATGTGAATACTCATCCAGTCTAGAATAACAGGAGGTTGATCGCTGATTGAGAAAACCAGGAGTGGTGAGAACACTCATCCAGTCTTGGGTAACAGCAGGTTATTTGCTGACTGAGAAGATCAGGAGTGATGCAAATACTCAATTGTAATTAGGAATGGCAAAACAATATGCTCCCGCGGATAAAATCCGTGACTGATAGTTGGTACCTGCAGATATTTATTATTCGTTGGTTGCGGGTAGAGAGTATTTTAAACCCCACTTATAAACGGGTCGATGCGGGTATTATGCAATTCGTACCCACGGATATCTGTTACCCGCAAAAAATAAAAATAAAAATTTAATTTATGTTTTATAAAGTTAAATTTAATTAAAATTAAAATTAATTTATATTTTATAAGGTTAAATTTAATTAAAATTAAATTTTAATTTATATTTAATTTAATTTATATTATATTTTATATATTTTATATATTTTTTGTAATTTTATTTTTAATTTGTAAAAATATTTTTTTTTAAATATTTGTGGGTATCCACGAGTATCTACGGGTATCCGCGGGTTTTAAAATACCCGCAGTTATTTTTTAAACGGGTATCCGTGTTGGTAGCGTGTGGATTTTTTTTCAGGTCGGATTGGGAATAGGCACTATTGATACCTGATCCGACCCGTTGCCAATCCTAGCTGTAATCTTATTGAAGATTATGGTAGAACTCTCTACATACAAGAATCTTATGCACTAAACATTTATTATTAAACTAAGGAAGTTCTTACAAACACTCAAGTGTACATTTTGAATAGCATGTTAAGAGTAACCATCATTTACAATCATTTATAAAATCGAGCGCCTAAATACTTATTTGATAAATCAAAAATTCGACAAATATACTATATAAGAAGGGTTGTGAAAATAATTTTTCCATTAACATTATTCACCCATTTTAATGTTTTTCATATACGATGGCGAACAATAAGGAAAAATGATAACGATGATGACAGGAACTAAAATCTCACCTTATAACAACTTAAAAGTTAAGAGAAACTAAAAATTTTATTACTCACTTTACTAAACCTCAATACACCATATTATATAACTTAAGTCTCACCTGATAACAACTTAAAATTTAAGAAAAACTAAAAATTTTATTACTCACTTCACTAAAGCTCAATACACCATATTATCCTATTTATAAGTGATAGTAGTTTACATATCATAAATATAAAAAAACTCCTAAAAACCCACAAGAAATACATTACATTTCAATAGTATTAAGTAATTTTTATTACTTCATCTACTAGGTAAGCAAATAAAAGTAGCCTAACTCTAACTAAAGAAATCTAAAATAAAGTTGGATACTTAACAGTATTAAATAAATAAAGTTGTTAAAATAGATAATAATAGTTGAGAATGGGACAACGAATTATAATTTTAAGGATACTTGACTTAATTCAGAAATATTTTTTTATTATTTATAAATTCATAAATACATTTTAATTTTTAAATTTTATTTTTGGTATGATATTTTCTATTAATTTTTTTTTGAAAAATTACATAAAATTATAGTTTGCTATTCTCTGAGAGAGAGATTCTTTGGGTTTCTTTGGTTCTTGGGCAAAAACGGGGAGAGCTTAAATTTCTTTTTTAGCTAAGCGAGGTAAGGTGGAGAGCAGAGAGGAAACAGAGCAGAGTTGTAGAGAGGAAATAGAGCAGAGTTACCGTGAGGAGGAGTTGCGAGAAAAGAGAGAACATAGAGGGCGAACGGTTTGGCGCAAGGACAATAGAAACTACAGAATCAATTGGGGGGACTTGACCGTGTGAAGAGCTGGGATCGAACAAGGTATGGGGAGCTATTGTACGGGTTTGTTTCGCTGTCTTGGTATATGATTAATTGGGGTAAATTTTGACTGATTCATGATTCGTGGCTATCTTAGTTAATACAATAACTTATGATGACCGGTGCATTATTGAATTTTTACAGCCTGAAATATGCATGTGGGCGTTGTTCTGTTTGGTTGTTTGATAAAATAAAAAGAAAACTAGTAATATTCATGAGAATTGAGATTATAGCAGGTCTGAACTACTAAAATGTAGCTTATTGTTATTATTTAGTCCAACTTACATTAATTTTAGAATTTGTTGGCCAACTCACTCAAGATAGCCAATTACTGTTGATATGTTCAAGTACTTAAAGGATAAATCATAACTTGATTAATGTGTATACAGTTTTATTAGTTGACTGATTGGTATTTGGAATGTTTGATTTTATATACTCTATTAGTTAAGTTTACTCTGGTTATAAGGTATATGCAATATAGTCTTAACTGGATATGGGTATTGTGTTTGTCGAGAGGATTTTGTGAGGGTTAGGTTCTGTAACGTATGGTTCATTTGGGCTAAACCAGTTCGTGGGATCACAAGTATGCATTAGTTGGTATTGCTATTGAAGCTAAGTTGTTATGAACTAGTGGTAACATGAAATCCATGATTTTGCATTAGAAATTGTTGCTTGGGTTGAGTAGCTGAGATGATTAACGCATTGTATTATGTCACTGTAACATTAGTTGGAAATCAAGATGCTTTTGTGTTGTCAGAAACTGAAATTATGTTGGTCTGTGAGACACTGATTAATAAAGTTTGTTTTTGAAGTTTCTGTTTTACCTGGATTATGGATATTCACGTTTTAAAAGAATTAAGTTCTTTCGATTTTTCTTTTAATTTCGTCTACAAGTAACTTAGTCTTTGATGTGTTTAATTGACTCCCAGATTTGAGACGTTACATGTAGCTTTTCATCCGATTTTTTGTGAAAGATTTTTAGTGCTTAATTCATGCGTTCCTAACAATGAAGAGCTGATACAGGTTGTTGTTGTGCTACTGCAAATGGCATTCTTCAGAAGCGTTTCTGCACTTTCACGGCTTCGCTCTCGCGTGGTAACTGAGGAAAACAGTAACTAACTGTTTTGTTTTTGGCGTTGTTTGTGTTTGATTATTGTTTATGTGACTTGCTGATTTTTACTTTTGCAATGGAATGACAGGGTCAGCAATCTAATCTCGCGAATTCAGTTAGATGGCTCCAAACTCCGAGCTCCAGTAACACTGTATTTTCTTTTTTTCTATCCTTATTGTGTCGTTGGTGCTTGGTGAAAAGTTTACTCTGAACAGTGTTTTATCTGAGGAGGGTGTTGCTAATACTGTTATTGTGGTGAAGTTTGGAATTGGGTATTCTAGTATAGTACTTAGGGAATGAAGGATACCTCAGACTAATTGTTGTTTATTATAGCGTGAAGTTGGTTATAAGTTTTGACCTAAGTTTTAGTTTTCCTTTATGTGGGTTATTGCAGGATCTTTATTCTAAGTTGAAAGAACTCGTTCCAGAATATTAGGTTTGTTTGCGATTTTAAGCTTCCGTGGTGACACTGTTTTATGTTGGATGCATTAATGTGTGATCCATATTTTTCAGGGTTTTTTGAAAATTTTTGGGTCTGCCTTCAAGTGTGTGATAGTTTTGTCATGTCTGTATTGTTTTACGTTGAATGCATTAACGTATAATCCATCTTTCTTGGGGTTTATCGTGTCTGCATCTCATTGAAGTGTTTTATAGTTTTGTTGTGTCTATGTTGTATTTTTGGTTAGTATATTGGTGGGTGAGGGATAATGTGAATTAAATTTTCGTTCGTGCTCAACTTTCAATGTACAATATAGTTGCAATGATTTGTACCATGCATGTGCTATTGCAAATTTGAGATTCTTGGCTAATGCCTTACATGTTTTGTAATTCCAAGTTACGATGGATTTCATAACCTGTTTCCTTTGTTTCATTGTTTCTTCATGTTAGCTTGTAGCATGCACAACACTAGTTAATTAATTGTAAAAGAATGTTGTACTTCTCTACCTTATGTTTTAATCTATACATACAAACCTGGTTGCAGCAACGGGTTAAGAAGCTAAAGAAAGATCATGGAAGTGTTGAGCTGGGAAAGATAACTGTTGATATGGTAATTATATTATCCTTTTTGTGTAAGAATTTAGGTAATCTGGGTTTTCGTGTAGCTAATGTGCTCAAATTTTGTTTATGAAAATGTGGCTGGCTTGTCACACAAATTTTCTTGAAGCAGTTTAAATGTGATGTGGGTTCGTACTGTGCTGCCAGTAGTACTCGTCAAGCTTTGTTCGGTGGACACTGGAATGAATGTGCCACAAGAGCTTTGGCTACTGCATCTCTTGCTTCGGTGTCTGAAGATCTGCCAAAGGATAATTCCGTCTCTGATATGTTGGTAGATTCATTTGGAAGGCTTCACACATACTTGAGAATATCTTTAACAGAGAGGTGCAATTTAAGGTGTCAGTATTGTATGCCAGCAGAAGGTGTGGAACTCACTCCTAGCCCTTAAATTTTGACAAATACTGAGATTCTGCGATTGGCAAATCTGTTTGTAAGCTCAGGGGTAACTAAAATACGTTTGACGGGTGGGGAACCAACTGTTAGAAAGGATATTGAAGACATATGTTTGGAATTATCAAACTTGAAGGGACTGAAAACATTGTCCATGACTACCAATGGTATTGCCCTGACGTGAAAACTTCCAAGGCTGAAAGATTGTGGACTTACTTCCCTCAACATTAGTTTAGACACTTTGGTACCTGCAAAGTTTGAGTTTATGACCAGACGAAAAGGGCATGAAAAAGTAATGAATTCAATTAATGCTGCCATAGACCTTGGATTTAATCCAGTTAAGGTATTTCTTTGTTGCATATCGTTACCTTTTGCAAGTGTTTCTTGTTGATCACCTTCCCATGAGCAGCTACCTTTTTGCTCAAATTCATTAAGTTAATCAAATGAATTGTTCAACAAGGTGCATACCTCAGGTAAATTTCATGTCACTGATGGATGCAATTTTAAGATATCTTTTTATGTTTCTCTTGCCATTTCAGCGTCAATGTGTTGTAATGCGTGAATTCAACGATGATGAGATCTGCGACTTTGTGAGTATGACCCGTGAAAAGGCAATTGATATTCGCTTCATAGAGTTCATGCCTTTTGATGGGAATGTTTGGAATGTCAAGAAACTAGTACCCTACTCAGAAATGTTGGATACAGTGGTAAGGTAGAATTCAGACTGGAGACCTAACTTTATACTACATTTTGTTGTTCTCTTATAGTAGAGACCCTTGGTAACCATCATTACCAAACAGATGAAACAGTTTCCAAGCTTAAAAAGAGTTCAGGACCACCCTACAGATACAGCCAAAAATTTCACAATAGATGGGCATGAAAAGGTAGTTAGAGTTTCGGTTATCACATCAATGATGAGCATTCTGTGTGGGTGCAATAGATTGCGAACTACTATGTGATGGCAAACTTTAAAGTCTGTTATTTGAGCTACCTTCGGAGGTACAGTTATATTCAAATCATCAACGCTCAGTGTATTATGCTGTCCCTAAACACTGGGTTGATGGTTTATTGACTAATCTGTGATGCCACTTATATTTGAATACTCAATGTTTTTGGTGCAATCTGTAACGCCTATACTTCATGGTTAATATATTGAAGTCTGGATGCTAGTACGACATGAGCACATACAACTACGGGAATACGATAATTGTATTGAAATTTAGGATATCTATGTTTTGGATTCTTTAGCAAAAAATTATAGATGCATATTAAGGGTGAAGAAAGAGAGAGTGGTAATTTCTCATCAGTTCATGATTATGATGATCGCTATTTAATTTAAAAATTGATATGAATGTAGAAGTATCAGTATTTGACATGGGAACAACACCTTTATGTTTCCATTTTTGGAGTATCAGGGCATCATAGATCATATTAATTGCAGGCCTCCTAAATGTACGGTTAATTGAATTGGATTAGTTGATGAGGGTGAAGGATTCGGGATTAAGGAATTGGTATTTAAGGCCTATAATTTTCGTTTGCAACTAAAATCAGGATTTTCTATGCAAACTTTTGGCAGTCTGGTTTTATGAAGACTGTGACTGATTCCTTGCAGTTAGCTATTTTGAAACTGTGATGTCTGCTGTTATTTCTGAATTCTTGATACGGGGAAAAAAGGGAAAACTATCTGATCTGACCAACTCATAATAGAAAAACATAACTTCAAATATTTATTTACAAAGATAGAAGTGCCCTGCTGAAAGTGGATTCCTGTAGTGAGTCTTGGTATTTGTCAGTAAATGGAAGATTTGATACACATTAGGACATGATCTCTACAAACATTAAAATATGGCTCTACCACATACAAATTTTGGGATTGAACATGTACACTGTCTTGCCTCTTCTTTCCATTCCACGTGCTATTTCATTTGATATTCTATTTAGTTGATTACTTGTAATTGTTTCTTTAGATGCACTAATGTACTTTCTTAATTCTTTTGAATTTTTAATCATTTCTGAAAATTTTCCAATCAATGAAACTGATAATCATTTTCCCTATTCAAGACATGCCCGTCATTATGGATGTTATCTATACCATTTATGTTCAAGTCAAAAGTGCTTGATGTATGTATGGATGTTGTCATCGGTCGGGACAATAAAACATGTCATAACATACATATAGCATCTTTAATGTGAGCTTCACCAAAAGGTTTTTGTGATTTTTTTATATGGGTCGTGTTTCAGGTTAGTTTAAGAGATCCCTTGAGATGTGGTGCAGAGGATCATGAACTTAGGGAGATAATAGGAGCAGCGGTATGCACTTCTTCTGATTACTATTGCTAAATCTCACTTGTGTTGTAATGATTTATAATTCTTTTGTTTCTTTACCAGGATTTATCATCCTCTTAATATGATGATGCTGCAATAGAATTTCACTCACTGCTATTTTAATTTAACATGCTAGTGGACCTTTATTAGAAAAGATATACTTTAGGAATAAGAGAAGCATAGCAAAGGACAACACACCCCTCAGCCTAACTGATAAGGAGCTGGTTAGAGCTTCTGTATATGTATGGAGATAGAAGGGTGGGTGGGGATGATATAATTAGGTAAAGTTTATCCTCATTTGGTAATTGGTAGATCCTTTGATAAAGTAACTATCTTATCATGATGCATTAATATGATACATGTATCGGGATATGATACATATTTGATAACGCCGATACGTTTTTATTTTGAAAAACAATAGATACAAGGTTATACATCTATCTTGAGAAATGTACAACAATTCTTTGAAAACATGATAAATGTGAATCCAAATTAAAATCAAATGTATTAAAAGGCTCTCAAAATAAAAAATTATAAATTACTTTTGTCACAAACGTATATTACTGGTTCATAGATTAGATAGTTTATGATAAGTATTAGTCTATTATGGAACATGTCAAAACGCGATATTATGATAATAAATTGAATGTTGGGTTTTTTGGCTTTATAATTATCCCTTCAACCTTAGAACCAGTGAGCATTTCCATGAAGTATGTTTATATTCACTCTTTTCTATGATTTTTCATTATCTGCTGTGTCCTAGTTTAAACTATTTGGATTTCTTTGAACAAAATAGTGGGTTCATAGACTACTTGAAATGTGTGTTTATAATTTAGTTAAGCAATATTATGGGGGGTTCTGTATATGCCTATATTCTTTAAGGTTGTCTTTCCTTTGTTCTAGGTTGAAAGGGAAAAGAAAAAAAGCTTCACATGCCGGGGCATGTTTGACATAGCAAAGACGCAAATAGGCCTATGTTGGATACAAATTGGTGGATAGGTCTCTTCTTCTTTAGTTATTATTTTCTATAAAAGGGTTGATCCATTCATCTCTAAAATATTTCTTTTACAATTTACTGAGGCACATCATGATTTGTCTCTATTTCAGGTATCATAACAGTGATTAATTAAAAAAGTTACTACATAGCAGGCAACCAGAGTAGTCCGGTGAGTGAGAAGTACCCTGAATTGAGTATCTGAGATCTTCATTGATAGTTCAATCTCACTACAAGGGTGATCATTTATTTTTCAACGGTTCTAGCACATATATGGTAACCGTTTTGCCTTTGGATAAAACCCACTGTTATTGTATCGAGTAATAATGCAAATTTGGGCTTGGATTTCTGATCATGTGTAACTCTTTCTTCAGCTGGTTGTTTGTTTACCAATCAGCTTTATTTTCAGCATGGCTCTGTATTTATTTCTTTTGTTTAGAAATGACAATGAAATTTTGAGAAGGTTGGTTATGCCCTGTTACGAGAAGAGCTATCTTACAAAGAAAGTTTCTTCCTTTCACCCTATCAAATTTTTGGATCTTAAGTCAAAAACTTTCCTCCATAACCAAACTTATAAGACGAGTTGTTCGCCAACCTATTTTTATTATATATAAAAATTGATTTATCTTTTAATATTAACGTTGAGATTTTTTTTAATCATTATTGCAATTTAGGAGTGATAGAGGATAGAAATGAAAGAAGTTGGTGAAGTTGAAAAATGAAAGTGGGTTCAAATAAAAATTCATTGAAAAGAAAGAAGAAAAGAAATGCGAGTTGGCTAAAACTGATAGAGAATTTGATTGTTTAAAGTTTGGAAGTTAAATAAATTCATTGTGTTAATCCTGGTTCCAAAAATCATGGAGACATTCTAACTCGAGTTCTACTTGGAACTTTCAAATTGGAGCGTGTTCTTCTTTCTTTTAATTATAAATATGTGAATTCATAATTTGATTTATATGTTTGTAAATTAAAAAAATAAAGGATAATAGTTAGTTTTGTAAAATAAGTATTGACATATTCCATCTCTGTAGTTAGAAAGTAGAATAATAATAATAATTAACTTACACTTTAATACAACAATTTTTTATATTTTTAGTAAAAATAATTTTGTTTTATTACTTCATTCGGTTCTAATATAGTTGACACACTCTTTTGTATTTGATGTTACTAAATATCAAGTTATTATTTATTAAAAAAGAAATTAATGTTTTATGTTAATATACAATTAGATTCTTAAATAAATACTAAAAAAAAAATTCAAAATAAAAAAAATTTATATAAAAGTAAAAAATTAAAACGTTTTTTTTTAAATACTTCACTCAAGGAACTAATTATATATATTAAAGTTAAATTTTTAATCTTAAATAAAAACCACACCATTACGAATTATTTTAAAACAAACACATATTTAATTACCTTAATTATTAATAAAATTCAAACAAATCTAAGTAAATTAATTTTTTTTGTTAAAATCTATATTTTTTTTCCTTTTAATACTAAACATAAATTATGTTAACATTTATTATACTGCATCAATTATGTATTAAAAAATAAATTAACTAATTAATTAATTAATTAATTAAAGTAATTACTTATAAAAATTAGTTTTTTAAATGATATTTTAATTTAGTTCACAGTTTTATTCGATTTATATATTCAAGTTTTTTATATTGATGTAGATTGGACGTGGGACTATGGTTACATGGATCAATAATTATTTTTTTCAATTTGGTTCGTTTTTTTTTTTTAAAATTTTCTGAAAATGATAAACTTGGAGCCAAATTTCCATATGTATTGGATGTTTACCATTCACTATCAGTCTGTTAATCCTATCATTGACTTTAAATCTGTTTAAAGTCAATACTATTATTTCATATGAAAAAAAAAAAAATCTAATATAGGTCAATTCACGTTTGCTTCACAAGGTAAATAATTTATATATCTTAAAATAAAATTAAAAGGCTAAAAAAAAAGGCCCCAAAAAACGTGTTAGTTGGTAATCCATTTTCATTAATTCTTGAAATAGCTTTTTACTGAGGATTGAAACTAAATCTGCCAAATTCTCCTCTCCAAGTAAAGAGTAATAGATTTTTATTTCAGGGATATGTGAACTTTTATTAGTTGAAAATTGGTCTATATCTCATAATTTACGTCTTTATCTCATGATTTAGTTCTGATAGTAAAGAATCAGACATTAAAAAAAAAATACAATGATATTTTTATGAATAAGAGTAGTTTATTTTTTTATATTTAATCCTTTTTGGTTAGATAAAAAAAAGAGTCTAGGAGTCAAAAGATAATAAAGTTTATGTTTGGACTACAAGTTAAAAAACATAAATGAGATTTTAAATGTTGCATGTAAAACCTTTCTTCTTCACTTTCTTTTAACTTTTTTCTTTTTTGAAAAATAGTTTATTTTTTCATTTTTTGTGGATGACTTTTTATGGGGAGTAGTTTTGTCCGATTGTATTTGCATTTTATGGGGAGTGGTTTTGTCCGATTGTATTTGTATTTTATATTGAAGTTATGTATTCTTCTTTAAGTGATTTGTAAGATATCAGCTAACTGTAGTTGAGTCAGTAGATTAGTTTCAACTTTTCAATTGTTAACTTGCATCCTCAGAAAATGAAATATGGTCTCTTTGTGTTTGCTCCTCTCATGTGATACAAAGCTATTAACCAAATTTATTGCTGATTTATTATCAACAAATAGCTAGATATAGGTATTTTAATTTCAACTTTCATTGTTGTCAGGATGGAATCAAGCCATACAGCCTAACATGCAGTGGAAGAACCAACTATATATTTTGTCTCACAAGTAATGCCATATCATGTTGGTTTTTGCTACACCAAAAGATTGATGCTCCCATAAACTTGAACAAAGAATCAAGTATAAGGTAGTTCTCCTCGTTATCACTTTTCCAATCACCCACACCAAGGTATAGAAATTTGGACCAGCCAAAAACAATTCATCTTTGCATTTCATTGATTTTAGGAAAACAAATACTAAAAATTCTATTGTTCCCTTAACTTAAACATATCTTAGGACCCTTTTCGCACTATTAAATGCATTTTTCTTTTGGCGGCGGATTGAATGGAATCTATTAAAGTACTCCAACTGAAAAAAACAAATGTAGGCTGATGTTACCATAGGGTACTCAGTAATTCCAACCATTTGTTTTTATAGGATGTTGTCAACTTCTTCTTCATCATTTTTTGAAGCAATAATCTTTGCCTCTACTAGAGTTGTTGCTGCATCACAAATTTCCATCTTGAATTTCTTTCGGATCTCTACGACATATTTCCTTTAGTGGAGAATAATTTCACTGTTGGTTTCGACAAACTCAAACCCAAGAAAGTATCTCAACTTGCTCAAATCAGTCATTTCAAATTCAACCATTTTTAAATCTTTAAAAATTTCAATTTTTGAGATATCATTTCCTGTGATCAATAGGTCATCCATGTAAATTCACATTAAGAGTAAATTTGCATCATCTTGAATCTTACATAAACACATGGTTCCATTGGGGACATTCAGAAACTTGGGTCTTTAGCATGAATTAAGTCCATCACTTTATTCCAGGCTCTTCGTGCCTGCTTTAGGCCCATATAATGCCTTCCTCAACCTATACACCTTGTATTTAGAGCCTTTAAATCTCAAATCTGAGGGTTGGGTGACCTAAAACCTCTTCTTCAAGCGGTCCATTTAGAAATGTAGATTTATATCTAATTGGAATATAGGCCACCTTCTACCATTAGCCAACGCTACAACCAGCCTTATGGTCTCAATCCTAGCCATAAGTGCAAATACTTCTGTATAGTCTAAACCTTGTTTTTGCAGAAATCCTCTGACAACCAGTTGTGCCTTTCGTTTGAAATGGTCCCATGGGATTAAGTTTAAACTTGAATATTAATGTATTTTTTTATTCAAAGGTAATTTAGTCAATATCTAAGTTTGACTTTTCTCAATAGCTCTGTATTTCTCGAATAAACATGCAAATCTTCAACCAAATCAACGCTTCCATTGCTCTTCATGATTAAAATTAAAAAGGGTTCAAACTCTGGCTAATAAAGCAACAAAGTGCACCAAAATCCCACCATCAGTCCAAGGCATTATCTAGAAGAAACACTTTGAGATCACCAATTACCTTGCATTTCATAATTCTCGTCTTGGTTGTTCTTTGTGTTGTGACTGGTGTAGGATGCACCCCATCATCAGTTTTCCATTTGGATCTAAAGTAGGTATTTTGAGTGCTTCCCACTTTGTTTTTTCAGCCTTAAAAACCTTAAACTTCCTTAAAAGGACTAAAACATCACCTTTAGCTTTTATTATAAAAAAAATCGGTCATACATACGGACTATACTCGTCTATACAAAAAGTCCACAAAAAAGTATATATTTTTGTCTCAAAGATAACTTATCAAAAGCGTTTTCCACATACATCCGAGTACACCACATGTAACACTTCCTTTGCTCTCATGTGCATATGTGATTTGAATGCATTTTTAGGCTGTTTACCTAGAAAGGACTCTTCACATGTCTTAATTAAAACAAATATTTCAAGCAACTCAATTACCATTTCATTTAGGCAATTAGCATTTTCAGACTGAAAAGTCAGGTAGGTGGACCAAAACCTCTTGTGTGTCATAGCCAACTGATCTTGTCTACAACCCCTGTAGTAAGACACTGATTCTCCATTGGATGCAATCTTGTTTGAAATTTTTGTTTTTTGACAGTGGTGATTTCAACACCAACTTTTCTTTGGAGTAATACACTTTCAGTGGGTTTCTCCCATGTGATTACTTAAAAAACCCTTCTCCACTAACTGAACCAAAAACCACTCAACAAAATGCATTTCATTCCAAGAAAAAATACAAACCACGTTTCTCCAATTACAAACCAACAACCTCCTCATCTTGTTTCTTGATTTACGGGATATTTACTAACTCTAGCAAACCTCCCATTGTAATTGTCATCTGCCAAAGCTAATCTTGTTGGGTTTTGCTTGTATCAGAGGATTTGATATCCAAAGTTCTTGTGGTCCAGTTATATGATTGGAAAACATTCAGTACAATAAACCAAGTATCGCATTTTAAGCGTTCCTTAGTTTTTTATCTCAATTTGTAAAAACAGTGTAATTTCCTTCGATCTTGATTCCTTTCTGCTCCTCTTCTTTTTCTAAAACATCCTTTGCTTAAAAACTTTTCGTCAAGGTGGACCTGATCTTTTGCATTTTGTTCTTGTTTCAAATCTTTCTTGAATGGCCCACCTTTATTCTTTTTCCATTTTCCCGAAAAGAACCCCATTTCTTTGTTACATGCGCTTTGCAAGGCTTGTTCTTCACCAACTTTCTCAGCATTTCGCGACAATAGTTTCAACTCATGTGTCGCCAAAGAGCCTTCCAACTCTTCCATTTTCATCTTTTCTACATCTTTGAACTCGTCTATCGTCACCAAGATGTAGTTGAATCTTGGGGTCATCATGCAGAATATTTTCTCAACCATGTCTGATTAGTTACAATCTCCTCACACGCTCTCAATGAGTTTACTAGTAGTAATCGATTGAGTTTTTCAACAACTGTTTTAGAATAGACATAGACAATAACTCATACTGCCTTCTAAGGGACTAAAATTTCATTTTCTTGGTTTTCTCCCACACGTCATTCGCCTTTTGCAATATATCCAGGCCTCCTGTTCTTGTTTTGGAAATTTTCTCAAAGTTCAATGTATCCACACATTGATGAAGAAGGCAACAAGCCTTGCAATCTTTTTCTATTTGTGGCTTCGTCTTTCTCTCGTGCACCGTCTTTCACAATCTCCAACAACTCTTGATAACCAATGATAGCTTCCATATTCATAACCCAATGGTTATAATTTTTCCCATAAAAAACTGGTAGATTGCCTAAAACATTTCCACCTCCATTTGTCATTTCTTACAACACAGATTCCTGAAATCGAACCTATTGGTTAATGGATACCACTTGTTGGTTTTTGGAGAGCGGGAGAACCATGGGAAATAAGAAGAGAGGAGAATAGAAGAATATATTCGTTTTAGTGAATGAAAAAAAATCTCAATGTTTATTTTTATGCTTATTAACGAAAAATAGTTTAAATGATCTTCAACAACAAAAAAAAACCACGAAACAAAATGTTATATTTAAAAAAAAAAATACTTTGAATTAATACATCAAAAAGGCCAAAACATTCTAGAGAAAAAAAAAAAATACGGAAACAGGCAAAATTGTTTGTGCAAAGTGGTATGTGAAAGACCTACAAGCTGAAAGAGATGCAATAAGACAACTAATACACACACAACAAAGTTTTATAGCAACTGATGCTAATGAATATTAACTGTAATCCTTGAACATCAATAGAACTAAATAAAATCAATACATCAACACACATGCACTAGATCAAAATATCAGAAACAAGGTAAATTGTCAATACTCAATCTACAATTATGAAACATCAGTTCATCAGCTATTCATTTCATGATAAGTATCCACAAAAATCAACAAGATACACACAAAACGACCAACAACACATTAAAAAAATGTCTCGAACTTGCTTCACTTCAGGCGCGGCCGTGCTTAACTCTTTCATCAAAGAATTCAAATTCTGAGGAAACCCATCAAAAGAAAAACCCACTGAAAAAAAAACTTGATTCCCATAGGGACCCATTCTGACCTTCTTCCTCTTCGTGTTCATCTTTCACCCTTACCCCATTTTGCAGACTCAGAAACTCCTCTTCATCTCGAATGATCAAAGCCTCCTTCGGGTCTGAATCCATAGCAATAGCATCTTCGGTTGGTGCGGTTTTGGACTTGCTTCCAGCGCTCCCTTCTTCTGGCTTTCTGTGAGTCTTCTTTGAACTAACTCTCTGGAAATTTAGCAGCATCAGTTTCAATTATTTCAGGAGCAAACACATGAACTATCCTAATCTCTGACTTAAACTTTGATATTGCACGTGAATCTCTGTTAATTCTCAGCTTTGAGGATAGTGAAGAAGTTTCTAGCTTTGTCATCTCTTCTTGGTAACACTGTAGAACGTTGAAGTGTCTTTAGTGTTTTTTTTGGTTGATTCTGAATGTGAAGAAGAGTGATGAAACTGTGGTTACACAGGAAAAAAATAATGGAAGTATATCCTGCAAGAAAACAAGTTGCAGATTCTCAAAGTTTACTTGAAGCTGTCTTTTGGCAACTGAGATTGGACATAACATCTAACCAAATTTATTGTCAATAAAATAATAAAGTAAGAAACACATTAATGGGGCCTTCCTCCTCACACATGTAATTTTCTTCTGCATTATTTAATGTTTCTCTGCATTGACATTAATGACAGTTATACCAAACAAATATGAGAGACATGTCCAAAGGCTGTTTGGCCTAGTAATTACATTCAATTTAATCTTATTTTTCCACATGTCAAAGCAATCATTAGACTAAATCCCATACTTTATCATTTTATCAATTCAGCTTAATTTGCTAATTTATGGCCACAAATCATTGAATAATAATACTTTAAATGCATCTGGTTCACAGAGGCCAAAAATCATACATTCTATACCCTTTGTTAAAAACTATGAAACGCACTTTAATCAGCAAATTATTCTCAAAATGACTTTTCCTATATTAGTAATATTTTTATATGAAATTATAGAAAGTAATTTTTTATATTGTTTTATGAAAATGTAATTTTTATATAAAAAGTATTAAAAATTATAAAAAGCACTTCAATTAATTAATTTGTTTTAAAAGTTTTTTTTATTGTTGGTGTTTTCAACTTCAAGAATTAATAAAAATGTTAAGCTTTCTTTTCGAAAGCTAATAAATATCTTTTTTTTCTGTAGTATAGTCTTCTACATTTTTATTATTATCACTAGATTCCCATGTATTTTATTTTCTGAATTAGACCCACAATTTGTTTTATTTGAAAAATATATATTTTTATTCTAAACGAAAAATATAAAAATAAACATTTAAAACTTAAAAATATAAATATATATATATATATATATATAACTTTTAATTTGAAAAAAATTTAAAATATAAAAAAATATAAAAAAATATAAAAAAATTTAATTGAAATTTATAAAAAAAAAACTCCAACGATTCTACGTTAATTTTTTTAAAAAACCTACAGAAAAAATTTTAAAAAATTTATTTAAATTTAAATACTAAATACTTAAAAATATTTCTCTATATTTACATATCTAGATAGAATAAAAATAATCAAATTTATTTCAAATATCTTAAATTGTTATATTTTTAATTTTCTATTTTTGTATTTCTTCTAAAATAAAATTTCTAAAATAAATGTCAATACTTTTTTCTATTTTCAAAGTTTTATGAATTTCAATTAAAAATTCTATATTTTGCTATATTATTAAATATCTATTTTTATATTTTTTCTAAATATTTAATAAAGTTTAATACTTTTTCTATTTCAAAATATTTATAAATTTCAAATAAAAAATTAGACATTTTTTTTATATTTTTAATTTTGTATTTTTATATTTTTTCTAAATAATTTTTTTTTCTAGAATAAATTTCTATATTTTAAATATTGTCTTATATTTTTCCAAAATAGAAAATTTATATATTAAAAAAAGTTAAACTGGTATCTACAATAAAAGGGTCTGGTTGATTGAAATAAAAATGTCATGTTATCTAGTGGTATAATAAAGATGTGAAGGAGTCTACTATAATGGAAAAAAAAATTCAAGTAATGACTGTTTGTATTTAGAAACAGATTTCTGTGGATAATATATATGATCACTAGGTTACCTTATTTAAGATTAAGTATGTTTGATTTCACAGTAGGTGGAGTCTTGAACGGTTTATTCGGTCTGATCCACTTGTATAAGATTAACTATTTTATTTCTTTTTATAAGTGTTTCGGATGTGTCGGGCTGTGCTATCTTAACTCTCCAAGTTCTCCTGCTATCTTGCTCCGATGGCTGGCTTCTCTTCAAGTCTTGGTTTCCTTGTTGACCCTGAGGGTGGATACCTGCACAAAGATTCTCCGATGCCAAAGTCAGTTTCAGACAATGGCATTTCCATCAGGTGATAGCAACAAATGTGATTTTAATGTCACTCTCTACCACTCCACCCTGGACTTGTATTATAGTTTTCGCTATGGGCTTGGGATTATAGTAAAAGTTAATCCGGCCATGACAGTCCCAATAGCTTTTAAACTCTACTTACCTTAAACCAAGTCGATTCTCATTAAGCCAAGACGATTAGTAGCATGGCCGACCATTGTCACGAGATCTAATCATCGGGCGGCCGGCCTTGGGCTGTGTTACTCATTCCGTATGACATGGGCGCCCGCCCATGTCGTACTCAAACGTCACTATGTTATTGGTGATGTAATCTCACGGGCTTCCAGTGTTGAAATGGGCGGGCGGTCATTAACCAGTCCTATATCGTGGATGTTGAAATGGGCGGTCGGTAATATACTGCTTTAATGGTACATGTTGAAATGGGCGTCCTTCCGTAGGACGCCCGCCCCTTCTGGTACAATAAGTATTAATGTAATTGTAAACTTAATTAATCAATAAAAATACCATTTAGTAAAACCCTGGACATAGCCCATTTTGATTGAACCATATAGATTTTTTATGTTATTGTTATTTGCTTTTTGTATTGTAATTGCTTGTGTTAATATAAAAATTAACATAAGTTTTTTAAAATTTTAAAATATAAAGAAAATAACTTATTTAAATAACTTCCTCACCAATTAGAAAAAAATCATATTTGTGAAACCATTTTAAAATAATATATTTTTATCAATAATTAACCTTATTACAAAATCTTTCATTCAATAGTTCTAATTAAACTTACAACTTTCACATTCAAAACTATTTAGATACTAATAATAAAAATTACTTTCGCCAAAATAAAATAACATTTGTAAAATCGATAAATGAACTTTCCCAAAAATAACAATAAAGAAAATTTGTTCAAAATCAAAAATGGAACCCATACTTTCAGAATTGAAGACATTAGTTTCATTTATGTATAACGTACATTAAAACAATTTTTGAATTAGAAATGATGACATTTATTGAGGATTCCTTTTTTTTTTTTTCAACAAACAAAAAAAGCTTTCAAAGCATTCCTATCTCAGCATGTAATAAAAAAAAAGTTCGGATTACGCATTCAGAAAACTTAGATATAGAAATGAGAAAAATAAATTATAAATATATTATCCGATGATTAATATTTAACTAGTTCAGATTATTCATTCCAAAATATTCCATAGTAAACTTTATCATTAGACAATGTCATTTTACAAAAAAGGTTTTAAAACTTGTTTCAGTTCTTCATAATTTGTTTCCAAGATGCTTCTAAAACGTGCCATAAGAAAGGTTTTTAATATATGTTACAAATTTTTTTTTTAAATGTGAAGATTTTAAAAGATCATCTCTTTCATTTAGGTGCAAGAAAAAGTCATGGAAATATAAAAAATGATTTTTTCAGATTATTTAAGTGTAATTAATCTAAATTGAACTTTAAACTATCTTAAAACAGTTATCATATATAAAATAATATCAATAAGGACGGTTGTTCTTCAAAAGGATTTTATTATATTTAAAGAGTGAAAGATTTAAACACCTTAGGATGTTGTTGTGAAGTTGTAATGAAGCTGGAATGATTGGGAGATAGTGATTATATAGGAAGTGGGAGAAGAAGAAATGTTTGTTCATAATAAACTGTCGAGAAGAAAGTAAACCTTACTTAATCAACAACCAAGTTTCAAGAAGTACTCAAAGGAAGAATAGGGAAAATATTACCCGTTGTATACATGTATATTAGTCACTTATATTTTGTTTTATCAATTGAGTATCTCTATAACACTCATGTTCTATTTTAATTGGTATTATTTCTCTTAATAAAGTGTTATTAATTTCACTTTATATTTGACACTATTTGAGAAAGTAAAACTTTAAATTTGTATATAATTGGAGGTTTGGTGTTGAAAATTTAAATGAGTGGTATTAGAATAATATTAAATGGTTATTTACATTGAAGTTTGTTTATCCTTACTAATCACTATTGAAATCATCTAAGTTTATAGACTTGAATCAAGTAAGTGAGTTTGGCTATATATATTTATACTATTTGTATTCTCCTTTCTTTTCTTTTTCATGTGTATGGTTTTCTCTTTTTAATAAAAAAGATAGAGATATCATTTTAAGATTATAGATGTAAACAAATAAAATAGTAAAATCACATTATTAATGTTACTAGAGGGAATCACAAACATCTCCATCTTTGATTATGAAAATTATGAAATATGTATATAAGTATAAATATGTAGTTTATGAATAAGATCTTCAAAATAAGTAAAAATGGAGATTTTCATTGTATTCGGGAGTGGATAAAACACTTTAAAATGATTGTCTAAAGAAGATTTTAAAAGATTAGTTTGGAATAGTATGATAGACTAAATCCATTTAGTGTTGATATATATAAAATATTTATTAGAAAAATAGGTTTAACTCGTGGAATTATAATTAATATTAAAACAACTTATGACTATATATCTAACCTTTTTTTGACATGTTAAAGCTTATTCTGATATCTTTAAATATTACCATGCTAATGATTTTTATCTCAATATACAACAGAACATCTTAATGACAACATATATATAGAATTTTTAACTTTTTTTTTTCTCTTTTTAACTTCTTTTCTTTGAATAAAGCTATTAAGGTCACGTTTGCACAATAAAAAAGAAAGACTTAAAATATGACAATGATTAGGGGTTTGATTTCAAGTTAGTACTGAGATAAATAAACTAGAAATCTTGGAGCTACTTGATACTAAATTGTGAATCACGTGTTTATAAATTATAATTCATCTTTATATATGTTTACATTTTAATATATTAATATTTAGTAACAAAAGAACCACACTAATAATTTAATGATAGAATTGAAATTTCAACTACAAAGAAAATTTATTAAAATCTAACCAAATTTGTTGAAAAATTTGATTAAGAACTTCACTCAGAATAATGTTTAAGTTGTTAGAAATAAAAAAACCAGTAAAAAAGAGAGGATGTTTTAAGACAATGAATGATAAAAATGAATATAAAAGGACAG